GTGGGGCGACATGGGCAACTGGACCAGCCCCCCGGCCAACCCCTTCTCCACTGCTGCCTGGGGGACCGCGAGCAACCGAAGCAACAGCAGCGACACGCCACCCCTCCCGTCCCCTCCAGGCAAGGGGAACAACGACTCAAATTGCGACTGCCACGCTTGGGACTACGGCATCCGCACTGGCCTGGTCCAGAACGTGGTCAGCAAGGTAAGGGCCACGACCGCCGCGTCCCTGCGTTCTTCTCGTGAACCCTTTTCTTCCGACCTTGGTTGCCTCTGCTCAGCTCTCCATCTCTCTTTCTCTGCAGACCTAGGTCCGAGCCTACCCAGCTGAGGGGCCCTAAATGCTAGCTAGCCTGGGTACTCACAATTCCGCATTGACTGGGCTCCCTGCTGTCCCCCAAAAGAGATGCTCTTACTTGGATGTGAAGCTAAGGCTGTTTGCCGCCCTCTGCGGTGCCCGGTGACGCTGCATCCGCTTTTAAGGGACCGATTTAGCCTTTTTTCTAATTTCTACCAAAACTCTTGTCACAGTGCACATATGGGAAAGGGCGCCCCATCCCCCAAAGGTTCAAATCCTCTCCTCTATCTTGTCAGGTGTCAGACTCTCTGATGGCTCAGCTGCGGCCCTGGAAGACTCAGTCCCTCTTCTAGGTCTGCTCCTTGGAGCCGGGCCATAGCTATGTTCTTTCCGCAGGCCGCCTGTCCCTATGTCTCCCACTAAGAACTAACTATCCATGAAAAATAGTGTTGTACTCTCAGATAGTTCTTTCTGGCAGACCTCAGCCATCCCACACGTGCCTTGAACAGATTAAAGCCAGTTCAAGAATAGAAGTTATAGACAAAGAAGCAGAGCCCTTTGAAAAGTTCCCTTGCTACCCCACCCCCATCTCAACTATGTGCTGTCCTTTCCAGAGATTTGACTATAGAGTTTAATGTCAGAGCGGTCCCTCAGATGTTTTCAGGACTTCAGTCAGTACCCCCAAAGCAAAGGAAGAATGCAGGAAGCTTGCAGGGTGTCATCAAAGCTGCTCTGGTATGAGGCACTGAGACCTGGTGAGATGGTCCTAGTACCCACTTCGTCCTCCCTGTCCCTTGCAGAGGTCCTGCGTCCTGTGTAATATAGCAGGAGTGTTCTGTGAGAGATGTATGTCACCCTAAAAATGGATAGTAGGTGGTGTTAGACAATTATGACCCTAGATACCTATAACTTTCGATTTTCTTGACCTGTGTGAAATACTGACTGCCACCTTGTCAAGCAGTCTGTGAAGCATTTGTAGTTTCTCTCCCTTTTGCATTTTAAACAGTGCAGTTAGAAATGGGGCTGTTCTAAGCAGTTTGAAATTCTTTGTCTCTATGTGAGAAGGGATTTGGACAGTTTATAATTGTCTGGGTGGAATCCATCCCCACAACTCATGTGTGTTAGTAAACAGTTGTAGTTCATGGATGTGTAAGATGAAACTCTTACATCATCATAATCATTGTTTTAATCTTGTACCAACCTGACCAGAAGTGCCGTGTCCTGTGGGAACTGTCTGGAATAGTGATCCCTCTGCTCTGCGAGATAATTGAGAGGATCCTCCTAGTATGTCTCCTCTTGACTCACCCCCCACGGCCTCTCCCTTCCAAAGGTGCTTCTGTGACTGATTCCCATTCATTAAGGGCAGTATTACTTTTTTCCTTCTCTTCTTCATCTTCTTTTTGCTTAGCAGCAGAAACAATTTTAAAAACAGTGACTATTTAAATTGCCATGTGTGCCTGTCAGAATAAGGATTTGGCAACATTTCGAGTATTTTTAGCCCCTTTTGAGAGTAAAGGAAGACTAATGGCTCGAAAGAGTACATGTAAAGAGCCCTTTGAGAGAGTCAAGTTGGAAGTTAGGAGGGGAGAAAACAGACCAAGTCAGTACTCTAGCAGTGGGGACCAGGAGACAGCTACTCTACTCATCCTGTCAGGCATGGTGTGAAGCAAGAACAAATATAGTTCCTGAAAACAAGACTATATAGAGGCATATTGGAAAGCAGGGTAAGTTTTTAAAATTAGCACTCAGGAGGGGGCTCTGCATGGTGACGTTAGTACCTGACAACACATGGCAGTCACATGTGATGGACAAGATGACACTAAGGAATGAAGGCCTGGACACAGTAATTACAGGCATACTTTCTCATACTGTAAAGGCTAGGAAGGACATCTTGATTTTCACAGATGAGTATGTCCATGTAGAGGAATGCCCTGCCACCAGGTTGTGTTCCGTTACAATGCTTGAACAAGAGCTTTTCCAGCACAGCTTGGCATGAAGGTGGACTTTTCTCTCTGCTAACTGTGCTCACTGGTTTCCATGTCCATGTACAAATGTAGAATTCTTACTGTGGTGCTGCTGGCATTTTAGCAGTCAAGTGTCTGTCTACCTTGTATCCTTGTATGCGGTAGACAGAAACAGAAGAAGCCTTCACCTTTTGTCAGTGGATACAAGTTCAAGTTTGGACAAGTTGCCCTGTGTCCCATTTCCCTGTACTATGAGCCACAGGCTTCAGCATTCATCACGGCTCCTTCAGCAGGTGTGATCCTGAAACACAGCCCTGTCCCTTCTAGCCCTGGCTGCTGGTTGGGAAGAGGTAACGTAAATGCTGCCTTCATACCTAGATGTCGGAAGAAATCAGTTAGGCCCAGGATGTTGAATGAAGTGGGTCCCCTGGGCTCTGAGCTTCTTTGCCCTCTAAGTTACACTTCTGGCATGTCCTTACCACCTCAGTTTAGATACTTCCAATAGTGGGGCTCTGTCCCAAGCAGCTCAGAAAAAAAAAAAAAAGCATGAATTTCGGTGGGTTACACACAATTAAGTTCTCTCATGCCTGTCTGCAGCTCATTCCTGAGAATGCTTTTTTCCATCATAGAATGTGTATTTGGTAGTTCCTCCCCCCTCCCTCCTTCCCTGCCTCCTTTTCTCCTCCTTCCTTCCTTCCTTCCTTTCTGTTATTGTTGTCTTGTTTTGTTTTCAAACAGGGACTCGCTATATAGCTCTGGCTGTCCTGCAACTCACTCTGTAGACCAAGCTGACCTTGAATTCAGAGAGATCCACCTTTCTCTGTCTCCCCAAGTGCTGGGATTAAAGACATGCATCAGTATGCTCACTTTTCTTTTTTTTGTTGTTGTTTTGTTTTGTTTTAGTAGTTTCTTACCTGGCTGAAAAAATGTCCACCTAATTCAGCTGTTCCATTCATAATAAAGTCAGACGTATTTACTGTGGCACAGAAAATATGCCTCTTAAACGTGGTGCTATAGCACAACCAAGCAGGCACTGCATGATCTACCCCAAAGAGAGGTGGATGAATGCCATGCCTCCACTAGTGAAGCCTAGGGTAGAAGCACCATCACCTTTAGCAGATATGACATACTTCTGTCCAAAGACTGGGGTCCCCCAGTCTACCTTGCTTTGATTGCCTTCAGTGAGACTTCTCGACTCAGGTAGCATGAAATACATCTCCAGTTTCTTCTCCAGTTTTCAGTGTTAGGATATCTCCTCTTGGCATCTTTCTTTTTTTTCTTCCTTTCTTTTCTTTGTTTGATTGGTTTTTATTGTTGTTTTGTTTTGTCTTTGTTTTTCTCAAGACAGGGTTTTTCTGTGCAACCCTGGCTGGCTTGGAACTCAGAGATGCACCTGCCTCTGCCTCCTGAACACTTGGATTAACTGCCTGCACCACCACACCCAGCTATCGTTATTGTTTTCATCTTTTGACTTGATCCTTGCATTTGTTATATATGCACACCAGACTTTTGCCAATAGAATCTACAATTCCTTCAAAATGATGGTGGTGGTGATGATGTTGGCACCACCTTTACTCTGTACAACCCTTTCTAGTCTCTGGAACATTTTTGTGAATTATTTCCTTTGAAGAATAGAGTAACCCAAGGCCATTTTTTTTTGTTTGTTTTTTTTTTGTTTCGAGAAAGGGTTTCTCTGTATTGCTTTGGAGGTTGTCCTGGAACTCGAGCTGTAGACCAGGCTGGCCTCGAACTCACAGAGATCCACCTGCCTCTGCCTCCTGAGTGCTGGGATTAAAGGTGTGCGCCACCAATGCCTGACTGACCCCAAGGCCAATCTTAACATAGCAATAACACCGACTACAGAAAGTGAACACATATTTGAATGGTTCCTCATAGAAAGCAGGTATTCAACCTACTTCCTTATCTCTATCCTAACATTCTGTGCTTTGTGCCCCCGCTTTGCTGAGCCAAGCTGGTAGTGCCTTCAGGATGAATCAGACAAATCCCTTTCCCAGCACAGCAGCTTTGGGGCTCTGAAGGTAGGCAGCTCTGGAGTAGACTCCCTTTCTCATTCTCGGTGCTGCTGCCCAAAGTTTCTCATGCTGCTGAGACTTTAATAAAAATTATTTAACTTAAAAGAGAAAAGGGAACTCATGAATATAAAAGTGCTGCTCTTAATGGCTGACACAACTTATCCCGTGTAGTATGAATGTTGTTGGTTACTAAGGCTCACTGCCTTCTGGAATGATCTCTAGAATTTGGTCAGTAAGCAATGCCATCTAACCTTCCCAAGCCTCTTTTTTCCCTGCAGTAGTAGTTTAAATTGTTCATTCATCTCCTGTCTTCTCATGAATTTGCAAAGATTCCTGACTTTTGTCTTGAAAGTTGTTTAATATCCTGGGAAGTAATTTGTATCCTTTTTCTAGAAGTTATTTAAAATGACTTCAGTATAATATAATTAAGACTAAAACTAATTTTACTATCATTACAATGATAGTATTTTTTTAAAAGTAGTTCACAGTGTTATCCTAAACTAATAATGTTTCCACTTTTGAAATGCTTAGCACCTATGCATATTCTCTCTCTTCTAGAGTGTTTATTTAATTGAATCTACCATTATTTTGTATCACATCAAAGGTATTTGTCAATCCTTAGAAATATGTTTTTAAGATTTAATTTTGCTTTTATGTTCATCTTTGTGCCCCTCTCCTGAGTGTGTGTGTGTGTGTGTGTGTGTGTGTGTGTGTGTGTGTGTGTGTGTGTGTACACCCTATGTGTGCAGATACCTATGGAGACCAGAAGATGGCATCCAATTGGATCCATTGGAGCTGAAGTTACAGGTAGTTCTATGCTGCCTGACATGCTGGGAACTGAACTCAAGTCAAGTCCTCTGCAAGAGCAATAAGAGCTCTTAAGCAACCAGCCATCTCTCTAGTCCCTCAG